CTTACTTAACACCTTGCATCGCATTGCTGAACCGGGCCCATGCTTTCATTTTTATTACATGTCATGCGAATATTATGAAAAAGGCACATATTTTCCTTCTGTTAGTACAATTTGAACGAGCATTTTACTATTACAGAAACTTCTTTAGTAAAATCTCAACGTTAAACTGAACGTTTCATGACTAAATTTGAAGATTCTGGATATATCCTACTTAAACGTTCATAACTGGTTAGCAAAATAGTTTATACATGTACTCCGTTGTACTCTTGGTTAACTTCTAAATTGTTTTTCGTTAAATCTATAACACTTGATAGCACTTGATTTATAATGAAGAAGTATCGAAATGTTTAATTAACTATCTAGCTTTTTGCAAAGAATTTCGTAGACACATGTGTTCAATACAGAAAAATTTTCTAACTTATCAGTATTATTACCAAAATAGAATGCTAAATTTCCCTAAAAATTTATACATTTATTTCTTTAAACCCACGTACAGAATACCCACATTTAATAATTTAATGAGCATTTTCCTACATCAGAACGAAAATTTTTAAATAATGTCATGTTCCATAAAATTTATGAATTTGTGATGTCGTTGCCTTTTTGCAAACGCTTTGAGAGAATGTGCTCTCGGTACTCTTTTAAACACTTCGAAACTGTTTTCTCTTTGCTATTGGAAACTATTTTATCTTTGCTGTTGATATATGCCAATGAATTCTCGATACTTTTTCTCTTGGTTTATCTTCAGCTTAGGAGTTATTTAATTACTTAAAAATATATTTGTAGATCATTTAGGTTGACACTTGTGATAGATTTCCTGGATGTGTTTTTGGAAAATGCATTTATTTTATTCACGTGAATGAAACTGATGTTTTCTTAAAGTTTTATTGTTCAGAGTATTACTCAATTATGACAGAATGCCGGATTTGTTCCCAGTATTCAACACTCATATGAACTTCAGTATTCTAAACCTCTCACGTAACTTTAATTTTTCCTATCAATAATAAGAAGACGAATGGAATAAATGCAGGTTATGCAGACTTAAGGTAAAAATCTGGAAGTAAAAGAAATTTTTCAGATCTAGGCAAATCAGTAGAATGTGCAAATATTCATCCTATTTGAAGCTTATTTTTGGAATTACATAGCATAAAAATCTAAATTTACTGAAAAGAGATATTATGAAGATCGAGTACTCTGCAAACATCTGGGCGGTAATTATACAAAACTGGTTATATGGAAGATTTCCATAAAGTATTCCAGCGAAGAAAACATGCCAGCGATCTCCTGAAACTCTAAGTGGGCCTTTGATCTTCGCTCTTACGTAGAATCTACCATTCTACTTAACTTTTGTAAGAGCAAAGATCAGGTGCTCACTTAAAGTTTTAGGAGACTGCTGTCGTGTTTCCTTCGCTCCAACAACTTTTATGGGAAACTTTACTTTTATTGGAACTATGGCAACATTTCTTATGTGGTTCCATAACGCATCAGACTGAAAAAAGTTATGACTATGAATTGTATCAATTCAGAAAAACGGTAATTTTCGACCTCACATTTCTGACTGGCAACATTTTGCAAGCTGAAGATGAAAATATTTTATTCTCGATTCCAAAAATTCATGGAAAACCATTTAGACGATTCCCATCTTCGAAAGCCGTTAATCAGCCGAAATACTAATTAAAAACTCTGAAAGCGCTAATTCTTGCGCTCATTTCTCCAAGTTTCAACAGTCTCTCGCGTTGGAGATAAAATGTTTTATTTCGAAAAGTGTTGCTACTGCTCGCTTTCAAATCGTGCAGTTTGTTAATAAAGTTTTACAAAATCTATTCACATAAAGAAGAATGTGTTTGTGTTTGTTCGCATTATTGATTTGTGATCAATTATGATCAATTTTGGCCACATTTAATCGACTAAAATTGAATATAGGTGAAATATTGCATGGAACTTGAGCTTTTACTACCATTTGATTAGAAAAACGAAAATCATTAAAAACTGCATGAACTGCGAGCGTGATTTAAAACTGATAAAATAAGAGAGAATTAGTTCCTTTTTCTATCGAAATTTTTTATGTGGGTTCCATACTATAAATTGTATTTTTTGTATCGTTATTAGAGAAGGATTACAGCGGAATCGTTCTCTCTGTTGATAGATACATTACTCTCAATCTAATCAATCTAACTTAACTGGCGTCGGGTATTGCCGCTAGTTTAAAATAATTAAAGACTATTAACACAAAATGAAAACATAAACGAGTTGATGATTCTTATGGTCTTTTTTAAGGAGCACCCAAAAGAATTATCAATGGAACCGTGTTTCTGATTTATATTAAAGAAGATTGCCAGCTGAAACATCACGTCAGATTCAACAATGCATCAGAAAAGGTAAATGAAATTTGTTCTTGTTTTTTTTTTTAATCAGTTAAATAATTTTAACCTGCATACGTCAGTAGATTCTGACAACTTTGATCAACAGTAGTTGATTAATTACGTAATATAATATAGTTGGAGTCCGCCATTAGGATGTGTTGTCCTAAAGAACTAATTATTTATGCTTTCGAAAACGGAAGTACTTGAAATATGTTCATTTTCAGAAAATGCATTTTGTTGAATGAAAGCATGCTAATATTTAAGTTGAATAGAAATAGATATTTAGTATTTTCAGCTTAAAAGATGTATATTAGAAGTTTTATGTTCTTGAAATAAAGGTAATTTTAACGTAAAACAAATTAATATGTATGAATCCAATTAAGAATTGAGGAAATGAGATTATGCTAAAAGTATTACTTTAAGATTCAAGATAAAATATTTGAGTTTAAAGTAAAAATGAATGTTGATGTGATAAAGAAAAAAACGTGCAACGGCACTCAGTGCTTTCATTAGAACGGTTAAAGTTCTAAAGAATGAAATTAGTAAAGATGCTCAAGCAGATAAAGCTGTATTACAAGTTACAAACGATACTTTTTGAGTTAAAATCTAATAATTAAGAGATACTAGATTTATTGATTAAGGGAAATGGCACTGAAGATGATTTAGAAACCAGAGTTATAACCTGTGAGGAATATTCTGATGAGTTCATCACAATTGAAAGAAAAGTTAGTGAATTACTAAATGTAAACAAAGTTCCAAATGACCCAGTTTTTAGTAACTCTGATATTATTAGTAACTCTAAAGTTAAACGATATAAATTACCTAAATTGAATATAAAACCTTTTGATTCTCAGTTAATTAATTATTTGCCATTTTGGGCACAATTTAAAAAGATACATGAAGATAAAGAATTAGATGATTGTAATAAGTCCGATGAGAATTGCGATTTCCGAAAAAGCCTGACGTAATGAGAGGAAATAAACTTCATTTTCACATTCAGTGCTGAAACTTACACCTGGAATCAATTAACGAAAGTAAAAAAAAACAATCAACCCGAATTTTGAAGGCTTATTAACTTTATAGTTAATGAAATTAGAATAACACACATGTTTGTAGACTGTATGTTCAAGATTTATTGTTCTTTCTACTGGTAAAAAAAATTCAAACACCTTTATGGAAACGAATAGCTTAAAACATTATACTATTGGCCTAGAATGTCGGGTATTTTAGTGCTTTCGAGTGTTTGAGTGCCTTATCATGAGATGGAGGTGGCAATAAAGTCACCTAGATTAACATTTAAATCAAATGTAGAACAAGCATAATATTGTAAATTTGCATAAAGTGTTTATGTTTATCTGCTAGTATTTTCGCTTTTATATATCTTTTCATTGTTGTGGGACTATTTTGTTTATTTATTTAGTGAATTTGTAAAGTAATTAAATATTCATTTTTTATGTATTATTCTCAGTCTCGAACTCGTGGCCATTCATTGCATTTGTTGTATTTATGTCTGTTTAATTAATACGCTTCTTTGTAGAGCGATTTATTCTGAATCAATTGATGTTGGAATTGTAAAGATACCTCATGGAGGATAGTATCAAATTAGAGAATTTGTCAGAAAACGCAAGTTTGTTCCTTAGAAAATATTTTAATGGAAATTTCTGGTTTTAAGTTATATTGTAGAGGCATTAGGTGTTTTTGGAAGCAGGCAAGCTGCAAAATTAACAACGGCTTCGCCGGGAATCGAGCCATGGACCTCTGGAATACCTGCTCAGCGTGCAGAACCACTACACCACGAAGGCACGTTAGGAAGGCGGAAGAAATACCTTATAATATGTTCTTTGTTTAGAGGAACGGTACAAAGTTCCAGTACTGTCGTTCCTCTCTCTTGAGCAATAATATAAATATGAGGTTGTTACCATCCGGTGAACTGACAGCTTAAAATCCTTTTTGGTGTTAAACTATTGTGCTATTGAGTTTACTATTCAATGAACATTGTTTCAGAATTTGCTATACAAACAATAAATAATTTATAATCTTTGATTACAAAAGCGTATGATTTGATCCGGTGTTTTAAGGAAAATTTTCACCTGTCTCTGAAATATGTTTAATTTATCTTGTCTATAAATCTGTTATTTGTGTTAAGTTTAAATTAAATTTTAAGTATTTCTCGTCACCTTACTTAATTAGTTATTAAAATCTTGACTAACCATGATCATGATATTTATTATTCATCACATTTAGCAAAACTACCATCAAATATGATAGATATTCCTTTTTCACGATATTATACCAAAACAAAATATTGTTAAAGATTTACATCCCATACCATATTATTGACAAGTATTGTCTATCAATACACTTCTTAATGATGATTATTAACAGTTATATGAATCGTACAGTATTATAAGACACTATTTTTTCTCTTTCGTCGCTTCACTGCAGATAGATTTTATAACTTCCATAATTTTCTCTGCAGGCGATGCAGTTGCTTTCATTTGGTTGGGTATGCCCATTTTAATGCAAACAGAAAATAATTCCTATTCAGAACCAGTTTATTTTGAAATAAAAAAAAGCTTATTAACTTTCCTTTGAGTTGTGAATTCATTCGTAGAGACTTAAGAATATAGTACTTACACTATTTTTGCTTTCCTTTCCCAAGTTATGTAATTTCCAAGCATTTTGATTCATATAGTACGAGTGGAGGGCTAATCCCAAGTTATCCCTAAGCGAAAAGAAGCATTGTTTCCAACGAGGCGTGCTTTCATAAAGTGCACCAGAATAGGGATGGCGTGGAGCGGTATGATTCCTATACTCCTTCGATAAAAATGGTAAAGATTCATAAACAACTCTCCACATCATATAATTGGCAACCACTCTGAAAGCAAAAATAACAATTAATAAACCGCTGAATTTATCACGTTCAAACTTTAAAAATTGAAATTTCTGTAAACATGTAGAACAGCAATTCAGAAGACTCACATTACCCATAAAGCACACACAATTGCTGGGTTGTTGCATCCGCGTTGCAGTGTTCCATTCCCATCACAAACATTTATGACGTACATGCATCTTTGTAATAATGTAACATTGTACATTGTGGTGTGTATGTAAATTTTCTAGGAATATCACAACAACATTACTGTTGCTTGAAGTGTTGTTGTGTTGAGAAAAACTTTGCAACTCCCTTTCAAAGTTATTCGGCGGAGTTTTTCTTCCCACTTATATCGTTTTCCTTGGAAGTAGAGAAAAGGAATCACTTATGTAGGCGACTGTCGAAGATTCTGCTTCATCTATCCAATTTATAAACCACGGAAATAATTTTAATGAACAATTATTTTGGATTTCGCTCTTTTTAGTGTTTATTCTAATGCAACTGAAAATATTTAAATAACTGCATCATTCTTTCATCTTGTAAGTCATAATTATAGCCGTAATACTGTAACATTACTTAAAAATTGTTCATCATTTAGGAATAAATTACATTTGTCATTCGTTTCATATTTTAAAACATTGTGTATATATAATTTAACACATGTCGGAGTGCATCACTGCATCTTCCACATATTGTAGAATTTAAGATTTTTTCTTTGATATTTAAAGAAACAGAAAGGATGCAAATTTTTATTCTCTTGGAATATAAATTTCATTAACATAGTCTTAGACCTGCAAAAATAAAAGTTAAAATGTAGAATGCTGTGCTGTGCGGTTAAGTTTCTCTTCTTAAATAATCTCATAGTTTAAATACCATATAGCTAAATGAAGATTAACTACATCATAATTTTTCGTCTGCATCATCTGCTAAGGCAGTTCCTTTCTAGTGTTGATGCCAATTAAAAGATGTGATGGAATCGAATGTTAAGTTCCATAAATGTTACATTAATCATAAGCCTTACAGTCAACCTGTCTCCTAATGATTCAGTGATACGGTTATTATAAAAAATTATGCTTTTCTATTTGATAGAAAGTTTTGCAGGAGCAGAAATACATTCTTTGAATATTTTGATTCTGTGGGTGTAGGCCAACAGAACGTGTTGGAGAAGTTTCTAAATTTAAGACTTTTAAAGCTGAATGAAGGTCTTTTGCTTTATTATATTGAATTCAGCTTATTACAAAGTACATTGGTACTTGATTTGTTAGGCGTAAATCCATACTGACTTGCACTGATGATGTTATTGATCTTTGTATGGTGATGCAGGCTGCCCGCAGTGGTATTTTCCAAGACTTTCCTATTGCATGGAGCAGGTTTATCGGTCAAAATGTTTTCCGGTTCTCTGAATCTTGATCTTATTTAATAAAATGATTTGTGCTGTCTTGAAGGTATTAAGAAAAGTGTTTAACTGCAGGAATTTGTTATATAAATCGGGGAATATTTTTTAGTTCGAATTAGAAATAATCGGCAGAGCTTGGAACTTGGTTTTCGTATAGTCGTTTGATAATTTCTGCAATTTCTTGTCTTGTAAAAGGAATATCATTGGAAGTTGTAGAGGTAACTTTGTTATTTCTCATAGCGTTTTGTTCTAACGAGTCTTCAGAAAGGTTATCTGCAGATTTTATTTTCTCAATAGATGTTATTGTAACATCATTGTTGCTAAGATCTTGATGTAATATTGTTGAAGAGGATCTTAGTTATGTTGATTAAATGTTTTGTTCACACACATTTTGTAAATGGCTCCATATGTATCTTTTTCTTCCTGTACACAATTTAGACCAGCATTTATTCTTTGTTGTTAAAAGGTTTCACTTGTAAATTTTTGCTTCGAATAATTAATGTAGGCTGCATTTCTTGCTTCTTGGGAATAAGAATTTTTTAATCTTCCTTTACAGTGCTCTTGTTTTATTCCGATCTCTCTGAGTTCTGTTGTCCACTAATTGATATTAAGCTTTATATTAAGTTCTTTTATTTTTAGAGTATTCCTGCTTAAATATTGGATTACATTTATTATTTTTTCTGTTATTTAATTTAACTCATTTTTGTTAGAACTGAAGGCTGTTTCTATGTGAATAATTTAGAAATCTTTTTTGATTGTTGATGTCACTAGTCCTGCAACATCTTATCAACAGCATCTATGATTTTTCCCGATTAGTATTAATTTTTCACATTTTTGCTCGAATCTTTGATGGTGGGATAGCGAAACTGGGCCTCCTGGATTTGGTAATGATGACAGCATCTTCACAAAACAAGCTTGAGAGAAATGAGTTCAAGATTGTCATTTTGTTAATCGTAAACAAAAATCAAATAGAATATAGAGCTCAGTATATTTCACCTGGAACGGGGTCGAAATTTGAAGTTAAATATAACCTTGAACATATACATAAGACAATCATATAAAAAGTGATATCTGCATTTATAGTTTACTGTGTAATCGGCTGAAAAAAAGCTAAATTCTTAAGCATAGTGTTTCTATTATTATTTTTTGCACCTATGATTTTTAAGAATTTAATGGATGTAGTTTAATTAAATTATTTTTGAAGAAGTCTGTGAATTAATTCCAAAATACATTTTAAAGAAACACTTTTAGCTTTTATAAAGATTTACAAAACAAATTTTGCTGCCTGAAAAATAATCAGTTGTTTCCACTTCTGAGAAAAATAATTCTTGCAAGCCTCCTACACAAGCTATCCAGTGCAAGAAAATGCAAACTTACGCCTGGAATAATGAAGTCCTTTTCATTAAATTAAAAAAGAACACTAAAAATATAGCAGTCGAAAAAATTGAGATTATAGTGTAATATCTGATAAAAGAATTTACCAGTAAAAATATGGACTAAATCAAAAGGAAATAAACTAAAACTTGAACTTATTAAATGCCCGTTTCCCATTTTAAATTATTCACTCATAATCAATTAATCAGCAGCTTAATTAATAGACAACTAATCAAATTAAAAAGATGACTAAGATATCTGATCTTTTGCAGAAGAGCAATATTCTGAGTATTGATTATGCGCTAAGACGCACGGAAGAGAAGCGAAAGGATATATGCCTCGTGCACGACAACATAAGGGTTACTTCTAGATTCCTTGTGTTCTAGGTCTGACAGCTTCTAAGGCATGACCGTTGCTACTGACTTTTACGCCGGAACATTTTTTTTTTTTTCATTTAATTGAAATATCCTCTTCAAGTTATATTATGTACAAAAGTGTCTATGTTGCATTAATTTACGATGGAATAATAATTCATAACAAGCTTTTCCCCTACGAATTCGGTACTGTTATTTTGAAAAGCTTGTTTAAAATACACAGTTTTATCGTTTTTAATTTAAATTTATCAGCAGTAGTTTTTAAACTCGTAAATATATTATAATTGTTTAGCTATTTCATATAAATATTAAATTAGAATTTGTGTATCAAGATCCAATTGCAATATTAAAAATATATTTCTTTATATTTAAAAAAAATTAGATATATTTTAGTTTTTGAAATTTTCAGTTAGAGTTTATTTTGGAGTGTTAGTAATCAGATTGCAGTTTTGTTTGTTTGGTAGGTTGAAGAAGCTGCAATCTTAATGTCAGATTACCTTTTTTTCTGATAATTTATAAGAGGGATTCTGTTGCTGGTGCACGAAATGCTGAATTGTTGTTTGAATAATGTTATTTATTACCTAACAGCTACAACAATAGCCAAATTTGAGTTTTTATGAGCCTAAAAAGTATATTTTGTACTAGAAATACCAGAAGGAGGAATCTTTTTGATTATCTCAATTCAAGAACTTCAAAAGATAAACTGAAGTGTGTTTAAATCAGCAATAGTTCTTCAAATTATGGGAAAATATTATGGCTTTTGTTCATTCTTGTTCGAGATCTTTACACATATGTTCCTTGTTTCTATACCAATAAATAGGGAGCACAGAGTTAAACTATAGCATTAAGAGATCCAGCATGTCAGTAAAAAAGTGCACAGATTAGTAGTGATGCTCTTTTGGTACAAGTGTGCTTAGTAGTGACGAATGAGAACTGCTTATACATTTAAGAGCTTTTTTTTATCACTAAGCATTATGTTTGTGAAGAAAGAGGTATTCTTTCAGAAAGAGGAATTACACTCATTTTTGTTATACGTTAAATATGGTTGTTTTGGCCTTTTACCGCATCACTCAACTCCTGCAGCGATTAAACAATGGTTTAAGGTACAGTCAGTTTAGATATAAGAAATGGTTCCATCAGTCATTAGACCTTAATGTCATCGAGCAATTATAGAATGCCATACAATGTTTCGTTATTGTGTTTCTTCACAGACTTGCCATTTACCAAACTTTTGTATTTGAAACTTTACGATCCAGAAATGGCTACAGGTATTCTAGTTTGCCGGTATACTGAATTATTATAACATCGGCATTATTAAAAACAGTGAAATTTCGAACATGAACAATATGGTTCTAGCCATTATAAAAATTAAAATTTGTTTGCTTAAGTCATAAACAGTGTGAATAAATAAATTAAAAGAGCCTTGATGTAAAAAAGTGAACAAATGCATAAAAGTGCAAATAATGAGAAGCAAAGCAATGCAAATCAAAAACGAAGTATATAAAATAGCGAAAAATGGAATATAAAGAATCTTCATCTTTCGGCACATCATAGTCAGGGGGTTGATGTATCGACAGAAGTAAATAGAATACTACTAAACATTTTTTACATGGAGTTTTCTGAAAATATATGTGGGCAGAATTAACATTGACAGAATTCAGGAAATGACGTAATGGTTCAGAGTTGCAGTGGTTACTTGAAAAAAAGTTTATATGCCTAATACTATTTTACTGTTTAGTACATATTAACTGCTTCATTAATAACTTGCTCCGAGATTTGCGTTGGCAGCATAAAGAACAATGTCACACTGTATTAATCGTTCGTAATTTCCCATGTTTCTAACTTATTTACAGCAATAATAAGTTCATTTAAGAGGCTTAATATATAGAAATAACTAATTATTTTATAAGCACAGCGTAGACATTATTTTATTTCATACACATGTAAACATTAATTTGAATTTTATACATTAAAGACTGCAAGTGGTTTAGACTATATATGTAGTTCTAGACTCATTAGATGTTTGTGCAGCAATCATATAAAAATTACAGATTTTTTTCTTCACTTTAGGTTTCAAATGAACATTGAAAAATTAATAGTAAATATCTGTATTTATGACTAAGTAATTCATTACATTATAGAAGATAAATTTATTGCATAGGAAACTATCTTAATAAAGCTTATTTTTGCAATACATCAAAATGCAGATTATTGTTTAGATAATTTTCAGCAACTTGATCACTTCATTCTAAAAGTTAAATGGAAATGAAGGAATAAAATAAAGCTGCGTCACTATATGCAACGACCTTTTGGGTCATTTCCCAGAGTATAATTTCTGATGATTTTATGAAAGAAACTGTAAAATGAGCTCACGCAAAGATAAATGAAAAGTGAAAATTATTATTAATTAAGATAGAGGTTTTGTTAATAACTTTATTAGTATTCTCAGCAAAAATGATGATCGCTTGATTTTGAAAGTTAAATGAAGTAATTAATTTCTACTCTGACCGTTATAAACATATTTTTCTGAGTTCAGTAGATATAATAATACTCTTTTTTTTCTGTTTATTTATTATTTAATTAAATGAATCATTTTAGCTTCAAGTAAAACTAATTTTACATTTTACTTTTTTTTATGAAACTCAGTTCTTTATTACCTTCAAAATAATTGTTAATAAGGAATTTTTGTAATACCATTTATTAGCCTAAACGAGAACAGAAGTTAATTTTCCTCTTTTACCAGTATTTTCTGTATCTTTCTGGGAAGCTTATTTTCTATAATCATTCTAATGAAAATAGATTTTAAAGTAGGCTTCATGTTATGATCTAAGGAATTTTCTCCTACTTCTTAAATTTTGAAGTAGGCTACATGTGATGTTCTAAGGAATTTTCTCTTACTTCTTATCCACTTTTGAAATGCAACTGGCAAACTTCTTAATGAAACCTAAGTCTTTAATAATCAAAGTTTCATTTTCATCGATTTCATCATCCAGCAATTCATTGAAATATCTAATCCAGTCAATCTAATGGAGGATAAAACAGAAATCTTTATTCGCATGTGGAGTATTTAAATAAATTATGTAAATAGAGAATTAAAAATTTAAAAAAAAATAAACAGCAGCAAAAAATATTTCAAACGTTATAAAATTATTTGGGAACACCCACTTTTATTGCAAGAATACGAAATTTGATTGTGAATGGTTCTGAGTTTAAAAAAAAATCTGAAAAGATTTAGATTTTAGCGATTGCCCAAAAGTGCTTTTCTAAAGTTTAATATTGTTTATCATTAGGAATTTTCAATAGACATGGCCCAGGTGGAATACTGAAACATTTTATAGGATATCCGATGAACATCCATTTATACTAACATGGGAATGTTATATATCTTCCATATATTTAAAAAGTGAAAGAGTACGTAATATAATTCCATAAGAGTATTTAATGTTTTTTTATTAGACATGATATGAATTAAAAATCAGTCAAAGTGAAAAGCAGAAAAATAATATTTTTAAGAACTGCATCTCTTGCTTTTAAATAGTGTGTTGATTAACAACAGACAAATTAAATATGAAAGAACTATATATTACATTGTTTCGAATGGCAATAGACTCGAATGAAAAGTGAAACAATTCAAAATTGTGTTTGGAGAATAGCTCTTTCTGGCGAAAAAAAGGCTTAATTCTCTAGCAAATTATTCCGAAAATTTTCATTCAACTCAAAAAATAAATAATAAACTCCAAAAATGATTTAAGTTCAATAATGATAAATATAAATCTATTATAAAATCAATAAATGTGTAACCTCACTTAATTTTATTATCAAGCTGCTTTTTATTTTCTCAATAATGGCAAGTGATGACGGAAAAATTGCAAATAACAACTTCAATTGAATTTCCTTTTTAACTTTAGAAATGAATTTATCTTAGGATCAATGCAATCGAAATCGAAATCGAGTCAATGGCTAGGCGGCAATTAGTAGCCAACCGCTACTTTAACCGTCTCTGTTGGTAAATTGTCCTAAGGCGTTGGTACTTAAGTTTTTAATTAAGGCGATTTACGCCGCGCCCAACTAGGCGAAACTTGTCAAATTTGGTTGAAAATGTAGGGGAATTTGGAGGGAATGATTGGCAGGAGCCCTGTCACGTGGGTGGTCACCCACCCAAGTTCAGACTCCGAGCAAGCAGCTTACGCGTGCAATGAGAAATATTGGATATTTTAATAATATCAAGGTTTTGAAAGAGGTTATCCAGATTTGAATAATTAAACTAATATCGCGATCTAAATGAAACAAATGGCACAACTAAGTGCATCAGATTAGCTAAACAAAATATTCAAATTCATCCTTGCTGTAAAACACAGATTGGACAGTAGTAGTCCACGTGGGGGTCCCCTCCCGTGAACTTGTCCACAGCCAATGCATCTTGAAATAGTAGATATCACAATTCGTCAGGAAATCTTGGTCTGAGAATTAAACCACTAAAGTTCTTGTACAACACTGAGGCACATGAGTTACTGAAACTATACCTATGTACATATAGGGACGGCGGCGATATTTGAGCGAAGTAGCAAATGGTGAAAAACATTTTACACTAGCAATAAATAATCAGAGCTTTGAAGATCCAGGTACACGGATCATGTCCATAAGTCCACAATATTATAAAGTCTCTGATATAACAATAAGAAGATTACGGAAATGACAAATATAAGATCAGTGCTTTGAAGATCCAGGTACACGGATCATGTCCATAAGTATATAAAGTTTCAAAGACACTGGTAAAATGACACAATGAAGATAAAATAAAGATAATACTACTATGCACAATATATACACATTTCACCATTTGCTGTTATGGAAGATGCCTCTTGGGCGCTTTGCTGCAATTTCTATAGTAGGATCATAATTTATCAGGTTACGGATATGTTCATATTGACAAAGTTCTATTTTAGCATAGAAATTGCGGCTCGTGGTGAGAATTTGATCAGCTATGGGTCTTATTTTTAATTCTTTATGTATCTGCAGGTTACGTATCATCCATGAACCTTCAGGTTCCTTTCGAAGGGCGCCTGGACTGAAGAGTCCTATCCCTATCGATGCTGAGTCTCTTTTCGAACATTGAATCCATAAGTACGTTCCGGCAGAGTGACAATAGGCAAAAACAAGATATCCGTAAGCAAAGTATATGGCATAGAGTCCAGTCGAAAGTGAGTTGGTGACACATGCACTTGGGGAGAAGTATTCGGAGGCTAAATTCCCAGGAATCTCGTCGATGCGGTAAGGTGTAGAGTAGAAGGCGGCGTCGATGGGCGGAGAGAAGGCTTGAGAATCTTCAGGTCAGGTGGTTTGTATTGGCCAATGGTAGAAAAAGTTGTTATTTTTGGTAATAGAGCTGAGGGGTCTCATGCAAGCAGTATATAATGTTCCAAAATCTAAGATATAATTTATATATATATATTTTTTTTCTATTATTTAATTAAAGATGTTAGATTCCTCACATATGTTAAATAAAATTAAGAGTTTCTCCATAGGTGTATCTACTGATTTTAGCTGGTCTAAATTATTTTTAAGGATGGAAAAGAATTTTAAGATGTTATTATTACCGAAAATATTGTTAAGTTCTTTTAACGTGGAAAATATGTCAATGAAAGTGCTCGTGTTGGATGTAATGTTAGTATTCTGGTTTCTGGTGCCTTGTGTGTTGTTGGATGTAACTTGTGCGTATGTTCTGCCTTGCGTGGATGTAGGTATGTTTGAAGTGGTGTTGATTGGGGTAAAAGTGTAGTTTGGTGAATTACTCGTATTTACGTTTCTGTTTTTAGGGAATTTCTCGCAACCGCGATAGGAGGCTGGATGATTTTTGTGGCAATTTGCGCAGATGGGAGTATCTATTTTTCCTTGTGTAGGGCAGTCTGTGGTTTTATGTTGCTGTGCGCATTTAACACACCTAGGTAGAAAGAAACAATTGTCTGAAAGTGGTTGAAAACGTTGGCACAATTATGGCATTGTGGTGTAATGTTTTTTGTTGATGTATTTTTCAACTGTAATGATGAACATACCTAGGTGTGTTTCACTGTAGATTTTATCAATGTTGGGTGTTTGCATAAGTTGGATCTGAAATAGTGGCATGGGTTTGTTTGGTTTTAAATCTGGTGAGCTGAACTACTTTGTGTACTGTGTATCCAAGGTTTGTGAAGTTCAGTGGAAATTTCATGTGTGTCAGTGGTGATGGGTAGGCCTCGGATGAACTACTTTAACTGGGCGTTTGTGTTTAGGTGTAATGACATAGTGTTCGATGTTATGTTTTTGTAGGTCTGTGGTGAGTTGTCTGTGGTCATCTGTTGTTGAAGGTAGTAATTTAAGGTATTCTCCACTTATTTTGGCCGTAGAAAGTAGCTTGAGTAAGTGTAGTGAAGTTTTTTGATGTATTGGTTGTGTGTGGCGCCATCTGTCGGCTTAACCATAATCGGTGTAGGTGTGCTGTAGTTTGGAAGTCTTGCATCTGGTGATTGTGAACTATTAATTTGTTGTGTGGGTTGAGTGGAATGAGTGTTAGGTTGCGAGAGTGCTGTGAAGCTGTTTTGGGTGGGTATAGTGCTTGGTGAAATATTTACGGGTATCTTAGCAGTTTTAAGTGGTTTTTGAAATCCTTCCAAGTCCTCCTCGCTGTCTGATGTATCACGTGGTTTGCGTTTCTGTTGTGCTATTGGCTGTGTAGTGCTTGCATGGGAAAGAGCAAAATTCAACTTACCCCTCAGCATTTCTAACTTTTTCTTCTTGGTTTCCATTTCCTTTTCACAATGTCCGAATGGTAGTCTCTGTCAGTAACTGGTCTGTTAGCCGAACGTATATCATAGAATTCTTTAACTGTTGCTAATCGCTCTTCTGTATCCTGATTCTCGAGTCGTATCGCCGCGATTTCTTGTTCCGTATAAGCATGCTCAGTATCCAGGTCCATATCAGTGGCCGTCGTATTCGAGCTGTCCGAGACCGGATCCTTGCCTTTATCAGGTGGAATCGCTTCATTACGAGGAGTCTGCTTCGTACGAGCCATCTCAAAAGTAAGAGCTTCTTCAGCACGACTTCACAACGCAACTAGAAATCAAGGAATACTGCAGGTTACGTACGAACCATGGAGAGTCAACAATTTGTCTGAGTACTTTGTTCTGAAAGACCTGTAGTTTGTGTCTATAAGTCTTGTACACAGTGGCCCAGATAGGCACTGCATATAGTAGGGTGGGTCTTATTAAGCTGGTATAGATCTTCTTCTTGAGACTGATATTTAATTTAACTTTACTTCTTATTAAAGGGTAAAGACACATTTTTAGCAGCGGTGGCTTTGCGCAAGGCATATTCCGTGTGTTCTTTGAATAACAGCTGTGAGTCGAAGACCACTCCTAGATACTTGGTACTTGAAACAATTGCTAGGGCTTGATCATTAATTTTTATATTTACATTCACAGGAGTGAACTTCCGATGACGTCTGAAAAGGAGAATTTGGCTCTTTGACGGATTTACTTTTAATTTCCATGAATCATATAGTGTGCTATGATATTTTACTGCGCTTTCAAGTTTATCTACAGCGAGCTGAGGTTTTAGCGACTTGGTTAAAATTGCTGTGTCGTCGGCATATTTCACTACTTTTGCATTCAAAGGAACCGGCATATCATTCGTGTAGATATTAAACAGATGCGTCCCAGAACGCTTCCTTGAGGCACTCCGCTTTTAATTCTTTTTCCTGAAGAGAGAGAATCATTAATTTTTACCTGAAAGGTCCTGTTTTTAAGATAGCTTTTCATGAGCTTAATGAAACTGATGGGCAGATGAACAAGGTGCAGCTTGTAGAGGAGACCCTCATGCCACACCTTGTTAAATGCTTTTTCTAGATCTAGAAAGCAGCTGGCGATTGTGTTCGTTTTTTTCGTTTTTGCGAAGGAGTCTGCAATAAATTCTGTAACGTTCAGTAGTTGGTGCACGGTACTACTATGACCGGCTCTAAAACCAAACTGCTCTTTACATATAATTTTCT